GCCTTGACTGAAGCGGACCTTCGTCGATGGGAGATGGATAATGTGAGAGGGGAATGCGGGTGATGGGAAGGTGACGTCCGCGCGAGTCGGGTTCCTCCTTGCAGCCGCCGGCGTTGTTGAAGATGGGAGGAGTTCGCCTAGGCGACATTGGCCCCAGAACGCCACACAAGCGGCCGCGAAGACGGCCATGTCGACGCTGTCCGTCAGGTCGAGGCCGGCCCTGAGGATGCGTAGCATCTTCCGGTTGATGGGGAGGTGGGGTGGTCGATGGGAAAGGGCGGGGTGTCTGTTCTCGACCCCGTTCAGTATGTAGTTGAGGCGTTTGCCTCCCTTCCATTCTGCGTTCTGCGCGAAATGCCAGGCCTTAAGCCCGGCGAGGGCGTTCCTGGCGGTGCTGCCTGCATGGCGGCCTTCGCTCGATGCCGCGAACGCGCAAAGTACGAGCTCGTCCGCCGGTAGCCAGAAGCGTTGGTGAATCTTCTCGTTTCTGCAGAACCGAATGAACCGATTTACCGCACCGTTGTATCCTCTGAGAGTTGATGGGGCCCACCCATGAAGCAGAGCCTTCGCTAAATGCTCCTCCGTAGCCGCTGACAACTTGATTTTGTTCGGATTGTGGAGCCCGGCCGACCGCGATCTCGAGTGTGGTAAGATGAAGTGGTCATTCAGAGGGGAATCCCGTTGCGATGAGTGGAGGTCCCGCCGCCAGGAGCGCCTAGTCGTGGGCGGTGTTGTCGCCGTGCGCATGAGAGGTCGACGTGGGTGGCAAGGGCTGCCGCGCGGCACCTCGCGTCTGTCTCCACTCGCTGTCTTCCGGGAGACTGCGATTAATGTCAGAGGCGAAGTAATTACAATCCTGTCGATCTATCTATGAGTCCGGATAGGCAGAAAGGTATTTTAAAGGGGGAATCGAAACGCGGAAGACCCCTTGGGGCGATCCCCCTCGAGGGCTCGTCCGCCCTATTCTGGATTGACGGAACGTATTGGGATACGACCCAGATATTGGCTTCGCGCATGAGCGCGACTACCCTCTGAAGGACCCGATTTTGCTCAACGTTCCTTGACTTCCCAGCTTCCAGGGCGCCGATGACGCCCTGGTTGTCCGATTTCATGATCAAACGGGCGTCTGAAACACCTCTCGCGATCGCCAATCGCAGTCCGAATTCGACTGCGACCATCTCTCCCCAGCCGATGTCACGCCTGTCCGATTTCCAGCCTGGCTTGAATGCCCACGCATCCCAAGAGTCGTCGATGACCGCTCCGACTCCGAACGAAGTGGAGGCATCTACCCACAAATTGCAGGTTGAGACAAAAGACGGAACCAAGAGAGTGCTACCGCACTCCTGTAGCCGTAGTTGAGCCCTCCAGAATTTGATGTCCTCGAACACCTGCGCGTTCGGCTTCTTCTTCGCAAACAGTGACAAGGCGTGGTGAAACGAGCTGGTGAACTTGGAAAGATGAACGAGACGCGACCGTCCGTCCGGAATTGCCATACTGCAGTGGACGAGAGTGCCGAGGAGCCGCTCGGCCTCCTTCCTCGTGAAAGAGTTGCCCGGTGTCCAGGCTTCCAGCTTGCTCAAGTAGCGCGACTTCTTCTCCTCCGGAATCGAGACGCGTTTCGAAACCAGGTCCCAGACGAATCCAAGGTACTTGAAGACCTGCGCGAAGTCGTGCGTCTTCGACGGTTTCCATGGCCATCCCAAGTCATCGGCCAGCGCCATGATCTCTGCGAGGCCGTACCAATAGCTCGGGTCTCCGTTCGCATCTGTCTCTCGCGGGTATCTGAAGAAGGCGAAATCGTCTACCCACTTCTTCAGCGCGTCTACCCCCCAGGCCAGGTAGATGGCCGCCATACAGTCCGCAACTCGGCCCCAGACGCCCGGTGAGCTCGCCGGTCCGAAAGGCGCGTTGTGGTCTATCCAAAGCTGACCGCGCCAGTGAACGACGAAATGGCGCTGCTGATCCGGTCGTATCGGGATGCAGCGAAAAGCCGCGTCTACATCGAGTGTCGCGACTTGAGCGTTCGGCGGCGCCTCCATGACTAACAGCGCCATTTCGGCGAAAGACCCCCATTCGCATTGGAAAAGGTCAGTGTCGATCTCGCTGTTGACTGACGCGTGAGAGTGGTTGTTGCGCGGGAAAGAAAAATCTTGTATCATCCGCATTTCCTGCGTGCCGGCTTTCGGAACGGCGCCCAGCGGAGACGTTCGAAACGGCCCTATGAGAGTTTCGAGCTGCGGCTTGGAGAACGGGCCTGTGTAGCGCCCGGCGCGTCTTTCTTTCGCGACATAGATGTCGATGGCATCGCTGTTCTCAGTCGCCGAACGATGATTAGGGGGAATGTAAGTATCTATTAACACGGAGGTGACTCCCATGTCGAACCCGTTCGTGATGCTCGACACGATTCCGGGGAACCTCCGGTGCAAATCGTATTTAGCGAGCGCCTCGTTCCAACGAGGCGCGATAAACGGGGTGATGATTCGGAAGGGCTCAGCACACGACGGTGCACAATTGCGCTCCGTGGTTCGTACCCCCGCAGAGAGTGCAACGGTGGTCTCCTTTGGCGCAGGGTCCGGCGTCTTTCTTCGTGCATCCGCCGGCCATGTTGAAATAGAAGCAATACTGGCGGCCCTTGTCATCCTTGACCGAACGGTCCTCGCCGCGGGTGAGCCTGACCGGCTGTCCGTTGATGAGCCTGTCGGCCTTGCAGGCCGAGGCTTTATGGCCCTTTCCGCCGCAGAAAAAACACTTCGAGTCGATGGGTTTCGGGGAGGAGAGCTGGGCCCGCCCGGACGCGTGCCTGGATGATTGTTCGGGTCTGGCGCCGGAGCTCCGTGATGCGGTTTGGGCCCGAAAGGGCTGCAAGGACGCCATGACCTGAGCTTTGATATGCGCGGGCTCCACCTTGTTCCAGATGTTCTTGTGGAAAGTCCCGGGGTCTATACCCTCTAGATGACACCGGCGGCGGACCTCCGCGTCGTACGCGAGCCAAAGGGTCCAGTTTTCAGACGTGGCCCCGTCCGTGCAGCATATGCGCCGGAAATGCTTCTTCCACCGCTCGTAATCGCGGGGGAAGTAAGCCTTGATCAGCTGGAGCAAACGCTTCCAAGCCTGGTGCCACTCTCCGAACGACAGCTTCAGTTCTCCCGCCGACGGGAGAACCTTCTCGGCTTGGATGAGGCCTCTTGCGGGGTCGACTGCGTACATGTCCGTGAGGAGGGACGACGTGTCGCAGCCGTATTCCGCGACGGCCTTGTCGGTGAGATAATTGAGTGGGATGTGTGTCGTCCACCCTTCCTGGAACTTTTTCCGGATGGGGTCGGGGATCGAATAGCAGTCGGCTTTCGCCTGCTTTCCCCTGACGAGTTGCGGGCGACGCGGACCTTTGGTCGTCTCTTGCACACGGTGTATGTGCCGCTCTGACCTCGAGCGCCGATTCCGCGAGTGACTTCTGCGCGGGGCGTGGCGACGTGCGTGCGTCGTCCTCGACCGATGGGTGGACGATGAGGACCCTGACGATGGGCTCCTCGAAGACCTGCGTCCGTGGCTTTGCCCGGACGAACCCCTCGAAGACGGCCGCGACCCTTGTGACGAACTACTTGAGGATGACGGGGACCGGGCGTGTCGTCTCCTAGGGCGGGATCTCGAGCCCTCTTCCTCATCGCTCTGCGCTCGGTCGTATGACCCGGGAGAAGAGTCGCGTCGTCTTCTCTTCCTCTCTGGGGACGTGCGGTGAGAGCGGCGCCTCCTGGGGGGTGAACGCTCGCGAGTCCGCTTCCGGTGGTGATGCCTGGCCGGTTGCCCATCGGGTTCCGGCCCTGAACCGCTGGCGCCCCTCCCGGCCTGGTGCATCGAACCGTGCCTTTGAGGGGTGAGGTCGCCGCGCCCAGAAGGGGTTGGGGACATGGGGTGGGGTCGGGGGAGTCGAGCCACCTGTGTGAGTATCAGCCGTATGCCCTATGGCTACGCAGATTGATTGAT